TAGGTAACGTCATCGGGTATTGTCACTCTAATGCTGGTACACATAATGTCGAAGTTGCTACGTTTAAATAGATTTTGGTCGTTGATGAGGACCGAAAAGCCGTTGAATACATTAACACCCTGTTCTGTACACTCAAGGACCTTTGCAGAAATTTTAACGAGCTCTCTTGCGTCTTGTTTATTTGTTCAATGGATTTAGGATTAGGTATGTGCGAATGCTTTTGACAGCCATTAAGGGAGTGAATTGTATTATTGCTTTATACATTCGTCCAAGCTTAATATCTAGCCAGTGATCTTATAATGTTTAGGATTTGCAATGTAAATTTCTATATAGGAATGTAAAATATTGTTGAAATGTCAATGTTTTATATCGTTGTTTACACTTTTATTAACTCCTTGCGAGGTTGGCCGATCACCAAAGTTTCATAATAATGAGGTATAATGACACTTCATAGTTTGATTGTGACAAGAAATTATTTTGGAAACATTCTTTGAAGTTATTCCGATATTGGCAAAATTTTTACTCTAGTCTTCAAAGTAGGTTGTAAAGCATCGACGAGAAAAAGCCAAAAGCAGTGTATTTTTTTGTATATTGATAATCCTTACGCCATTTCTTGTCACAATGTGTGTAGCACCTGCTTTTATTATTATCATCTGAACTTATTACCTTTGTAAATATACCTGATAGCCTTGATCTTCACCTTAACATCAAGTGACTTTAATAAGGTTGTTTTTAGTGTTGGGTAGGACACGACTTGAAAAAGAGTTTGTAAGAGTAGCCTCTTTTTTGTACTGAGCCAGTACGATGTCCCACTTCAAATGAGGCGAGGCGTACTGAAGCTCGGCAATACATTTGAAGTGACGAGTACAAATATCACATTGAGGCGTACAGAAGCTCGAAATTACGTTTGTGTTCACGAGTAGCACCTGGAGCGTAAGTTCTGAATGCAACCCTGGGCTGCGTTCAATACCTACGCTCTGAGTGCAACTTTTACACTGACGTTTAAATTTTGACATAAAATGTATGAAGCTAATGTCAACTTAGATATTTGTTGCACCTAGAGCGTAGGTTTTGAACGCAACCCAGTGCGAGTGACAAGGATTAGGAAGGAGAAATAGAGATACAGATGGATAGTGCGTAGAGGACTTAATTGAAATCTCATGCCTCGCTCTCTCTCAGACTTACGAAGAGTGAGTGAGTAACGAGACGCGACTATCGCGACATTTAATGTGAAGTAGTACATTTTAAAATTTTGAGCCGCTCTTACATTTTGACGTCATGTCCGGGACAAATGTACCTCCTCTTGTAAGTCCTACTCAAAACTAGTTGTTTTGCTAAGGTTGATGTTATTCGTAGTTAGACAGAATTATAGTATGAAAATAAAGTATCAACTTTGTTTTAATTTCAGATTTTATTGTAATATTTTTTTCGAAACTTACTGGATGTAAGTTGCTTTTAAAAAAGGTCATCAAGGAAAACTGAAGGCTTACTCAAATCGAAATTTGATTTGAAATTAAGATAACCGAATACACATGAAGTATGTACAGCGTCCAAAGTTCCAAACGTTACTTTTTTGGCCTTTTAAATAAACATCAATTTGTAATCATAAGAGTTTACTTGTAAAAACTCTAAATGGTTTTTAAATGAAACAAGAAATTTGCATAACAAAATAAGCTAGATGAGATGAGTGTCATTTAAAACCCACAAGACCGTTTACAGTATTTCCTCGTCCATCTATCATATTAATGTAGATTTTTTTTATAACAGAAAGGCCTTGTTATCGAGATAAAGATATTCTTTTCTAATTAGTGTTATTTATTTTGTTACATCTATCAGAACACAAAAAAATATTTTTATATCAGACTAACTTGAAGAGGGCGTCTTTGTGATTTAGACTTTAACAAAATTCTAACGTTGATCAGAACACAAATTAAAAGAAAATACCCTGTTTTTATTTACTTCAAATAGGTAAATTATTTTCTAGAAAAATAGATGCACACTTGTTCCTACTAGGAAGCCAATAACGTCGTGACCTCTTTCGTAAACCCATAGCCAATCGAACCTGTAGTTCGTAGCAGTAAAGAAATAAACTATTTTGTGTTAAATTTGTTTTATGGAAAAAAGACAATGTTACTATAACTAAGTGTACTTATACTCCCACATTCGTCAGCATGTGATCCAATAAATTGTTCAATTGGTACTTACTTATTAAGTAAGTTAAAACATTTTGCAATAAATTAACTGCCTCAATATTAGCCGCCTCCGTCTCTTCTCTAATTGCACAATTTCGTATATTGGCTAAAATACAAGGCAAACAGGAAGTACGATTATTTAATTAACCAATGTATTGCCAATCGAATGTGTCTGTCTTTACGATCTTTACTGTTTCTCTCTTTGATCTTTATTCTCAGTCTTGTTAAGCTATAATAACTGTTTTTTTTTTTCAAGAAATATCATAAACACGCCTTTTGAATTAAATTTCTTTCCATCTAGATTATTTTAGTAAAGCAGTGAGGTGTAGATAGATATTTTATAGTTAAGTCTTCGATCACGAGTAACGAAATTACTGTAGTAGCTCTACAATCGTAGATGCATATTTTTGATGTCCATTGTCATACGTTTACAAACTTTCGGTTTCTTATATCTTTATTTTAAAGACTAAGGATACTTATTTCCTTTCTCTCGTATTTTGATTAGTTGCTATTGCTTTTTCTTTTTCTCCCTTATCACTAAGTACACTTCGTAGTGATAGATATAATACATTAATACCCCTATTCAAATCATTTCCAATTCAAAGGGTCTGCTGATAATCACATCAATATTATTATATCTACATATATTCTTGTAGCATGTACACATTTAAATATCTTTTAAACCTTAATATGAAACTCCCCAGTAGGAATGATGCCAATTTTGAATCAACTATTCAATTTATTTCAAAAGGTCTTACTTTGACAATATCTTCTAAACTGAAATTTGTCGTTTCAGGGACTGTATAGTATAGCTCCTTAATAGCAACAAATCCGTTTACTTTTGCATCTTCGTCGGTATAGCGTGCCGTTTTAGAATGAAAACACGTGTATTATGCAATGATAGTTTCGATATTATCGACTGGGTGGATCTGTGTCGACGATTTGCATGGCGTTGACCAACTGTCGCTCGAATTTAGGCTATGTTTGTGCACGCTACCGCTAAGTGAGTTTAGTTGTAAGCTTATTGAATTCTTGCTTGTGTGTGCCGTGATATTTATTATTACGGTGTGTTCGATTAGGTGTACTCAGAAACCTAAATGTGACTATTCGATGATGACCTTTATTACCTTATTTTAGTTGTCTGCCTTTCCCATTTGTAAATTTGTGTTTGTTATGTTTTAATAATTACACAGCTTACCTTAAGTATTTAGTAATATGCTGTATTAATTTTTCAACAGTTAGAGGCGGGGTTATTACTAAACGGTGATATTATATAATAATCTATCAGTCAAGTTAGACATTTTGACATATGATCCCTCATCACTAAAAGGTTAAGAACCACTATGTTAGATGCAATTTACTTCCTCAGACGGGATCTACATCAAAAAATGATCATTTTATCATCTAAACTTTTAAGTTAACCTTAAACTGCACTAGCAAATAAATAACATTTCGTCATTACGTTGTCAACTAAAAGAGAACTCGGCAACCTGTACGATTTGGGGTTTTAAAATTTAGAACCATTCCCACGATGGTGAACCTGCGAAGATATCTCTTACAAATATTGACACGGCGATAACCGAATTAGTCCGAGGAGATGCGTAGGATGGGCTCGCTGATAAAACGAAAGAGCAGACGCGTTGCAAAATCTTTGACGTTATGGCCTTACATTGTTACAAAAATGTCGATTACCTGTTGACGAAGACTAGTTAAGAATCATGAGTTTCTCAATTCGTAAAATTTTGGGTGATTTTAATATAATACTATAGCTGATACTAATAGCTGACTCGACGAACTTCGTACCGCCCAAAAGTAATAATTTTTAATAAAATAATATTGTGACTATAAATTGAGATATAAACTGATATCTATCTTTGAAGTTATATCAAACTGCACACGGTGTGCAATGATTAAAATCTGTTAAGTAGTTAAGGAGTCCATCCCGGACAAAAAACGTGACGCGTAATTTATATATATATTAAGATTTTTCTCTACAGTCGTATGTAAATTTCCAATATGTGGTAAAGATATTGCGTACCCATAATTTTAGATTCTGATTAGAATTTTGAATTTGATTCCCATTTTAGATAATCAAATATTTCCATGTAACGTCCTATAAGAGTTGATATAATTCTAGAAAAAAAAATCAGGAGTGTCAGTAAAAAAAAAAGCTTAAGTTACTTTCCCTGAACTGAGATTGATTTTTATTGTTACTGTTATTATTCAATTATATTGATAAAATATTGGCAACAAGCGATTACCTTACCTACTAGTTAATGTTGACACTTTAGCAACAGTGTTGACACCTATCGCTCATGAATATTTATCGTCGATTATAACCAAATACGAGACACCGGCATTACGCTTGACTTTTACTTTTAAAGGGAAACTTTAAATAAGCATATTAGCCGAATGATTGATAACTCCCGATGACCTTCAATGTGACAGCTTACATTATTATAGGCTTATGTATTCTTTAATATACATATTCACTGGTATAAATGGTGCTGTTCTATTAAACATTTACCCGTTCTGTTGATCGCTTCGAACGAATCTGTTAATCCATCATCGATCGATGAATACCCATGCGTTGGATTATTTAGCAATTTAAATTCTAATACTCAATTTATCAATTTAATCTTATCTGAATCTTATGTAATTTGTATTACATTGTCTGTGTATTAGTTTCATATTTTACAAACAGTATTAGATCTACTTATTCGATTGAAGATATATTCAAGTGTTGTTATGATAATCATTATTTATCTTTCCGTTTCTACATCTATTATAACCAAACCAGTGGAGCGTAAAATTCAATGTGCGTTACGTGTAACGTAAACACTCGTACTTTCATTTGTGTCATCAAGACAGATGCCTTTTCTATTTCTGAGAGATATTTACATGCTTAATGATTTGCCATTTTGTTATAAATTCATCATTATTGCAGTTCACGATTCTCCAAGTTGTGAATGCGTGCAGAAATGTTACGCATATTAGGTCCTATATATTTATGATCGTATATGTTAAACTATAAATATTTACTAGCGATAAAAGAAAGATATTTCAATTTATTGCTTAAGTAAACCTAATCGCTACTATATTGACAACTCGTGCCTTGTGACAGACGATCATGTCGGTACTTAACAACCATATTAATTCGAATTAGCTTCTTTAACCACGACTTGTCATACCCAACTAGCTGATATATTTCTATAATTTTAAAAGATATCTGATTAATTTCCATACTTAACATAAATGTAATAAATATTATTTAATGTGCAGTGATATTCGCCATGATCTGATCCCTGGTTCTTGAACTTTGACCCTTAATAATGCCAGTCGTGGCAGACGGTGAGAGCGAATTGAATAAATGAAGAATGTTCCACGTACAAAGCTCCTTTGAGCAGTCACTGCGGTGCGGCGACGAAATTTCGCCTAATGGTAATAAAACGTTGGCTGCATTAGCCAAGATCCACAAACATTGTACGGGTAAGGCCCACGCTCACGGATGCATCGATCCCAAGCTCAATCCTCTCGCCAAATCCGAATCAAACACTAGCCTACAGTCTCGTAAATCGTTCCGCAACGAATGTATTATCGAAATAAAGGACGCGGTTAAACCGCAACATTTTAACAAAAACAATGACCTCCTCACAAAAAGCTTTAGTAATAGCACTAGCTCTTACGAAGGACACAGCGATACCGACTCTGAAAATACTTCCAAGCTACGAATGGAGAATAATAAAATAGTTGATACATGCGAGCGCTTATTTACCCAGAATACGAGAGCATCTCTAATGAAAACCGCTCGTATGCGATATGCCGATGATAGTGTTATATCATTACTGCATGATGAAGTTGATGGTGATAAGGGAAAGCAGCAATTTCATAGGACTCCTATCAGGAACAGTTATAGAGAGAGGAAATCTGCTGTTGTCACAATCGAAGAAGTAAAATCGGATGGATCTTTCCACGAAGAAGATTTAGCGAATGCTTTACTATTCGACGAAAAGAAAAAAACGCATTCTCAAAACAAAGTTGGCTTGCAACGGCGAGGATCGGGCAATTCTCTGACTAACGGGAAGGCCACAAACGGAACAAAACCACCATGGAGAGGCGCGAGCAAAAAAGGAATTCCAGCGGAACCGTTCGTTCGTAGTCCGTCCTTACGCGGTAGCATTAGGAAGAAGACTACAAAAAATGATGGTATCCCGTGGCGACGACTCTACGAACTTTCGCTGTGGCGAAAGTATGGGGTGAGCTTCGCAGCGGTGGGCGCGGACAAGGAGCGCGCTCTACTGCGCCCATGGAGCGAGCTGTCGGCCCATCAGCACCCGCCAGCGTTCTCGGTAAGTTAACCGGCAACCAGGCACCCGCCGCGGGCACCTAATGCACTTTAATATCTCACTCGCTTATTTGGCAGCATTTGGCTACTTCGATGTCTGCTTATCGTCGGGCATCTCACGAACTAGCGGCGGCGGTCACGTTGTAACGTTTTCAATAATAGCTCTGCATCTAACTCTACGAGTGTGTTAATGTTACGAAGATGCTTATGTCTCATTTTCTTATATTTGACCTATACAGCATGCATAATCTATTATCTTATCGAGTTATTTTTCTAATTAGGACATGATTTCACATGTTGCTGAGTTCACTTTCAAACTATTCCACGAAAGTGGTTTCAAAATTGATCGTCTTATGACGGCAGCAATTTAGACCACTTTCGCTTTCCTGTGGTCACGATATCGCACTGGGGTCGTACGGTGGGGTAATTCGGGTTCCATATGTAGTAACACTAATACCGACGTCGGCCGGAGGCGCAGCGGTGGGCGGTAGAGCCGTAATGGCAGAAGTGGTAACAAATTTCCACCGTGGGACCGTATTACAATTTGCCTCTTTGATTTATGTAAAGCTTAGTGCGTAAATCTATTGATGTAAAGAGCATATAATGAGACTAGACTGCAGTGAATTTGCACGAGAAATTTGAGGTCGTAAATCAATATCATTTTCATGCGTAATTTATTACATATCTTAAATAGTTACGAAATTTTACGAATAGTTACATACAAAGGAACTTTGCGTAATTTTACAATCTAAACGCTGAATTATCGAACGAGAGGTTTTATGGCAGTAACCTCTGGAATGCGTTTTCTTGATTTCTAATGTGGCGAATGTATGCATATATTAGATTGCTTAATGTTATTTAAAGTGCACAAAAATAATTATTCGCCAATCTAAAAACCATTTGATTCAATACATCCTGACCAACAAGATACAAGCTTATTTTATTTGTAAAATTCTAGAGTTCTGAAAACGATGAAATCATTGAAGGCATTTTTTATGTCATCTTCTAAAACATTTATCTTTTAAAAAGTTGTCCAAATGTTTAAAGAAGTGGTAGTCAAATAGTAAAAGACTCGACGGGTATTGGCGGCGGAATTTCGTACCCCGGCTGGTTAATTTTTAGCAGGGTCAATTTTGCGATGTGCGGCCACACATTGTCATAAAGCACAATTGTTTCTTCTCTATTGACTAATTCTGGATGAATTTTTTAGTGCATTTCATCAATTTCGTAACATTATACATCTGGCGTAATAGTTTCGCCCTGATTCAAGAAACTGTGATGAATGGGGCCAGAAGCAAACCACCAAACAGTCAACATCACCTCCTTTCGGGGTAATTTTGGCTTTGCAATATGTTGTGGGGCTTGGTCATGGTCCAACCATTTAGCTGATCGCTTACGGTTGCCTTATATTATCCATTTCTCATCATACGTCACTATCCGGTTGATAAAAGGATCACTATTGCTCACAAAGTGAATGAAGACGCAACTTCAAACCGCCGATTCTTCTGACTTTCGATTAATTCGTGGGTTCCACGCGAACCCACAAACTTGTTTAGCTGTTTTGACTTACCAGGTTATTTCAGGTGGTTGGAAATGATTCAATGGGAACACTTAAAGCTCCTGCAAGTTTTTAAACTGTTCTACGAGAATTCAAAAAAATATTTTCAAACAACCGCAATTTCTTTTTAAACAACCTAATAGTTTAGGCTTTATGAATATTTAATATGAGAATTTCTTATTATTTAACAATGATTTCCACGGACCCTTCATTTGTTGTGTTATAGATCGAGGTGTTGTCGCTTTATAAACAGTCGTCGTCGTCGCCCAGACCGAAGGCGTTTACATAACCACCTCTAGGGAGCGACGCGAATATAAATGAGATGCTGATCGAACATACTAACACATACTAATGTCAGTGTTAAGAAAACAAAGCGTGGGTTCTAGTGATAAGTTGAGACCGAGAGACAATCGTTGCGCCTTGACGCACATTATTCAAAGTTGACTGTTTTAAGTTGACAAAAAACATGAGATTGTTGAAAGTTGTTACCTAACTCAAACGTAGAAAACAATTGCTAATTTGAAACTGAAATGACTGTAAATTTAATTGGAAAATTATTTAAAAAGGCTATGTATCGTTTTCAATATAAGCTTTATGAAATATCTCTATTAGTTTGTTAGAAAAAAGCACAGATGTTCTCCTAGAAAAACGATCGTAGAATTTTTCCCATGCAGTAGTAGAAGTATTACCAACATACTAGATAATTTAATTCCTGCCTTTGGGCTAACATAATGTACTCATTACGGAATTCGTCTAACTCATAGCGATGAAGCCAAGGCCTTTACGGAAAAGAGTGAGTTGAGCAGAGTTTTCTTAGTGGAAGGCAAAACATTAATTAACTTCGTCACGTACAGATATTTTCTGCTCATTCCCCTTTCTCTGAGAAACAATAAATTATAACCGACTGGTCAGTTTTCATTGATCGAATTGTTCGAACAATTCAAACAATCTAAAATGCCCACATTACCTAAATGTATCTATGGAAGTGAATCAATGAAATTTTTAAAGCTTCTAACTCCACACAATAATTATATATTATGTAATAGCGGCCACACGCGACTTCGTCCGCGTTAACTTTGGTTTTTTGAGAATCCCACAGGAACGTAACTTTTTTCCGGGATAAATAATATCCTATGTCTTAATTCAGGTCATAAACATTTATCCAAATTCGTTCAGTAGTTTTTGCGTGATTGAGTAACAATCAAACTCACTTTTGCATTTATAATATTAGTTAGGATTAGGATGTACAATATACTTACTGCATAAATGCATTTGATCGCGTCCGTGTTTTTCAGGCTTATGAGATAGATAGGTCATTGATCTATTAAATATGGTGATATATAAATCGCTGTTACGTCAATGTGTAATTCTATATCACCTAGAACTGGTTTTAACAGAATATATTCCAATGATTAATCGCATGCACGAAGATATCTGCGTCGTCAAATGTGCGAAAGTGGTACGGCGACCGAGTGTCTCGGCTCGGCAAGTATTCGTAACGGCAAACAATGCTCGTGAATTTCGTAACTTCTTTAAATTCATTGCTAATCTCCCGTATAATTTGTCTCCTACACTCCTTAATGGTATTGCGAAATTTACATTTGGGTGCCTCTTAACACTTAAGTAGTAAAGTATGGTACGGATAAATAGTTTTTCAATGACGATTCTCATTAAATTATATAATTAGAAGTTACTTCAAAAAATATAAAAACGATAAAGGTTTCTGCTTTTTAAGAAAAGTGAGAGGTTTAAAAAAGTATTGTTTCGGCATGTGATGGTGTTACATAAAATTATATAGGATTAAAAATAAGGTTATTCGTCTGTTGCAAATAACGCTTAAAAAGTTCTGCACTAAATACTCGCAATCACAAAGTTCTGCTGGTAATAGACAAGCAAGCAACAAATATTAATTTTATAAGCACATTACACTATCTGAAATCGAATATGTGCATAATACTTATCATAATCCTCTTGTGATTAGTTTTCAAATAATCAACCAAATTTTAAAAATCTCTTTCCCTAAAATTTTGGGGTTGCCGTTTATGAATGGATAGTATACCGATACCGGTATTCAACTGACGTATAGTCCAGTCATTACGTCGGAAAAATCGGGTTAGAAATGCAAATGAACCGAGAAAGCCAAATTTTGGATATAACGTGGGGGGTGGCTAGAAAAGCTTAAGTTCAAATTGTCGACCAAAAAAACCTTGTGGGTTTTCCGCCATCTTGAAAAAAGGGTTAAACTCAGTTTTTTTATCATAACTCGGTTCCCCGTCGAGATACGAAAATTTTTATAGAATACTTTTTTGTTACTCTTTGTACGATCTACAATTAAGGTCCTATACATTTTTCACGTATCGACCATCGTTGTCGAGATATTGATAAAAAAAGCCACAAATTTTGGGAGATTTTTTTTTTTTTCGCTATTTCCTTCTTTCTCACGAAAAATACCGAAAAATGTTTCGAATAAAACTTGTAGAGCCTGTTCAGACCTACAAATTCGTTTTTAAATTTTTCATTTTCGAGAAAAATTACGACCTCCAGCGCGCCGCAAAGTCGGCGCCAATGCGCCCGACGCCGGAATGTGCGTCGCGCCATGGCGGACGTGCGACGGTTGGAGTGTCGGCATGGGTCAGGTATAAAAGACCCTTTTTTGGCGTACGTGCCGGAACATCTGCTCCTTCTCGTAGAACATTCCAGTCAGTTGTCTCGAGTCTTTTGAAGCGAGCGTACGTGTTGAAAAATTTGTGTGAAAATGGGTGATTGTTTTATATGCAAAAAACCTCTCATTGAAAATGTTTATGTGGCTAAAAAGAGAGCTGTACAGACTCTTTTAGCGGCGAGCGTGAAAAGAGGACGTGTGGATCATCAGCAGATTTTACAAGATCTTGATTCCGTGAGTGTTCATAGTTCGTGCTACAAAAAATATGGCAACCAACGCCTAGCGTCCATTGCTTCTCGACGAAGCGAGTCTCCATCGCAGGAACTACAACCCGATGAACAACTACAAGTCGTTCCCACTTTTGATTTTAAAAATCGATGCTTATTTTGTGGAGAAATATTTTGCGACGAATCAAGACTCCCAGTGCACAGACGGAAAAAAATTCATTCCGTGGTAGAAATATCAATGAATGAAAAAATTATGGGATACTTGTCTGGACGTGACGATGAATTTGCCACTTCCATCATCGAGCGTATTCATGGTATACCTGATCTCGTCGCAGTAGGAGCTCGATACCATAGAACGTGTATTTCTCACGTATATCATGCACTACCTGAGGAGAGGAATAAGAAAGGACGACCTACGGGGGACAAAGTAGACGAGGCGATGGAGGCAATTTACTCCTTTCTGAGAGAAAATTCCAACGAATGTCAATTTTCTATTAGCGAGTTAATGCGCCAAATAAATGGAGATTTCGTTCCGGACATCAGAACTGTTAAAAAACACTTGCAAG